CCACTGAATGGAAAAAAATGACTACAAGGTCTCATCTGCACAGAATTACAGAATTTAGATGCTCAAGTCCCGTAGGCAGAGCAGTATGCACATAAACTGCACATCCTCTGTATACTTTAAGTCATCTAGATTAGTTATAACACCTGACACATCACAAGTGCTATGCAAGTTGTTATGCTGAACTTTGCAGGGAATAATCACAAGGAAAGATGTCTGTGCATGTTCAGTACCAATTTACTTTCTGAATACTTCAATCTGTAGGTGCAGAACCTATGGACACAGTGGGCTGACACTAATTCTACTTTTGTAACATTCCCCCAGTAACAAAATTCACTGACGGTGAAGAGTGGTGGTTGCCAGAAATTAAAGTGGCTAGAAAAGGGTAGAAATAAGACCTGAAGACAGTACTGCACCTTGACTGCAATGACAGCCACTTACATTACAGCCTTTCACATGCACTGTACCAACGTTAGTCTAGGTCCTAAAACTGTACTACAGCAACGTAAGGTGAAAACTCGGTTTAGCTTTGTTATGGTTTGAATCTGTGTGTCCCCTCAAAAGCCTCAAGTGGCCAGGCATGAGGGGCAGGCTATTAGAGTTTGAATATGGGTGTGAGAGCTGCACCCACCCGGGAGTGGATAGTTTACATATGTAAGGGAGAGGAAAAGAGTGCTTGAGGCATTCCTCCCCCATTCCGCCCTGGTGTGTGGTTGCTGCTTAGCTGTGTTCTGCCACCCTGAGTGGTAGCTCTTTGCCATGTGTGCCACTCTGCCTTATAAGCTGCCAAGTACGGACTGAAACCTCCACAAACTATAAGCAAAATAAACCTTTCCTTCCTTAATTTTGGGCGTCAGATGTTTTGTCCCAACAACGAAAAAAAAGTAACCAAGACAAGCTTACATAGTGGACCTCTCTAAGCTGTTTCTGCAACTTTCTGTGAATATAGTTCTTCCAGATTAAAAAGTTAAAAACTTGTACACATGAGGACAGTCACAGCAAGAAAAAAATGAACCATAGCCAATTTTATTCAAATTCTGCAAAATTTATAATGAACAGTAATTGCTTCTAAAAATGTATAGTAAATGGCTTCATTATTTCATATTTTTTCCATGTTTTCTTCACAGTTCCTCAGTAGAAGCCAGAATCCTGGGTTGCCCAGTTAGGAGCCTAAAATATGTATAAAGAAATTAACATAGTTAAAAAAAGAAAGACACTTTCTCAGGTAACAACAGAAGTAAGTGATACAGCACAAATATCATTGGGTCAGCTATTAGCCATTAATACAGTGTAACAATCACAGAACCATCAACAGTGGAACTATAATCAATAGAAACAGATGCTAAACCATACCAAAAAGAAAAGCAACACATGAAGTTATTTTTTCAGACTCAGACACTCTAGACTTAGTTGGGACATAGAATTCTACTTTGTCTTTGTTTTAAAACTAAAGCACTGGTCTAAAGACACAAACCTGTTCCTAAAACCTCCACTGAATGGAGTCCTTGAAGGTCCCTTAACTGCTTCCTTACAACTTTGGCCCTCTACTTAAATACAATCCTAAAGTCGACAGTCCATTCAGTTCTTTCAACATCTAATATGCAGACTGCATACCAAAAAGGGGAATTATTTTCTGACAGTTAAATATAAATCTCAAGTAAAAGATAAAATTTTGTCGATCAGCATGAATAAATAACATTTTTATCAAACTATCTCTTTAGATTTAGAAAGAACACATATCTCAAGCACGTGTGAGGAACACGATTTTTTCAGTTTGACTAATGTACATTCTACATCTCTAAGAAAACGTTTTCTTAGTTTAGTAATCTCTAAAACAAAATGTTCCTAACCTTAAAAAGAAACACAAAATCAGGTACTACTGCTATTGACATGTCCTCAAAGTTCATAAAACAATTATATTACATTATCACTAAATTCTAGACAAAACAGAAAATGTATGGTTCTTACCTCTGACCTACTATTCTGATTCAGCTTCTTTTCAATATTCATGGCCAACATCTGGCTTCTAAATGAAAGGCTTTTAGTCTTTTCAATCACTTGCTGATAGGGTGAGACTGCATTATTACCCATGACCACATGACCCTAAAATCAAAGGGAAGGAAATTGTTCCTATTAATGATAATGACGAGAGTTGCCACTCCACTACGAACATGGTGTCTCAATAACCTAGGACTGTTCCACATATTTTTCTATACATCATGCAGAGGTAACAATATTAACCAGCAAGAAAAAACTGGTTGCTTTGGTGAACAATATAAATTCTTAATATTATAAAATACTGTCATTAAAAATGCCAGAAGTATGAAGTAACTGTTATCTAGTAGGAACCACAAGCAATGCCACACTCACTAATTTAGAATCAATCTTGGCATCCAGCCTTGCATTTCTAATCAAATTCACAATCCACCTTTCAGCTTCTTCTGGAGTCATGTTCAATTTATCCGCCAGCATACTAAGCAGGGAAAACAATAAAAACAGCAATGTTAATTAAACTGGGCCTGAACCTTCACAGTGTTCGATGCACACTGTGCATAGGGACTTTGAGGTATTTCTGGGTCATGTTCTCTTCCATCTGTGACGCCGACTGTTTGCACTGCCTGAGTTGTGCCTGTTTTCTTGAACTGCACCAGTCACACCTACATAGCCTCATGGGAAAAGTACCATAGCCTGCATTTATGAAAATCTTTTTGGTTCTTAAAGGTGCTCAGCAAGTAACCTAAGCAAGAATCACAATGGTTAGGTCTGCTACATGGAACACCCACAAGAAGTGTAACACAGAACCAGTGAGGTTTGGCTGCTGGGTAGTCCTGTGCAGTAAATTCTGGGCACCCACCGGAGCTGTGTACGGCAGAGCTTACAGGGCAACTGAGATGAGAGCAAGACAGGGAGAAACCGTGATCTAAAAAACTTTCAAAGTCAATCAACCAGTCTGCATTTCTTTGTTTTTCCAATTTAATGCCAGGTTGTAGAGGGCCACTGAAGTGCTTGATTTGTCAGGGGTACAGCAATTCATCACTCAACTGATGCAAGGCTATCTGTGCATACATGTGTAATATTTTCAGAATATATGTGATGTGGCATGCACATGAGCATTTATACACAGACATTAACACTCAATTCCCAAAATTATATAAACTACTTTAAACATAAAGAAGAAAAACTGGAAGGAGCTATGTGAGATACAAAAGGGCTATGAACTCTTTTTGGGAGATTTAAGAACAGTTTACCTAATGAAATTTCTGTAAATCCCTTTCACAAATCTTTAAATTGACTAGTTTTCCTGCTCAGCCACTGCAAAAACATGATGTTAAATGTTAAACTGCATAACGTTTCAAAAGACAAAGCAAAAATAAGTATTATATTCTCAGTTCAATTTCTGTAATTGAACATGTTCATGCCTCTAATGCTGGTTTTCTATCAAATCTTCAATGCCCAATCTTTTCGATGGTTTCCCTGCTCTGACCCCTCCCCCACTGCCCAACAAAGATTTGGGTAAATAAGGAGTTAGAGTCCAGTTTTAGTAATTGTTTCTTTATATAACCTGGCTTTCCAACTTCTATTTGACAATCATAATTCAAGTACTGCTGCATTAGGAACTGGGAACCTACAGCTTTGGCTTTTACAGAATACTATGACCAACATATCCGAAGAAAAGTACTCTTCAGTCTTTAAGTTTTATAAGTATGCAATAGAAAGTAATTAAAAAATAACTGTTAAGCAGAAATTGGCTCTAAGTATGAGATTAGATGGAAACAAATCAGAAGAAAACCATAATGCTGCATATGTGACAATGGAAAATTCTCTGAATTTTCCAACATCTTCAGTAGTAGTCTTCTGAAACTATCTCCATCTGATAATGTATCTTTTTGTGTAGTAAGTCTAATTCTAAATATAAATAGTTACTTGGCAATAAGAACTTGAAGAATCTAAAATGTTACCTAATAAAATAAACAAAGAAGAATGACTTCCTAAATTAAGCAAATGCCAGAGTAGCCTTTTGTGAAAAGCCAAAGCAAACCTCATATAGGGACATCATATTAATGTATGCTCCAACATGTTTATCATACATTCAAAATATTACTTCCATATTTTGCTTTTATCTACAACTGAAAATGGGTCCAAGAATTATTTTAGAACAGCTTTGAAATTTCAGAAACACACCACATCTGATAACCTACTGAGCTAACCTAAATTAAACACTACTGTAGTAATCTTTTGTAACAAATGCTACATGCTTTATAGTAAAGAGATACACAACTCACTGTACAAATCTACAGTATTGTATATAAACTGATAAAAAACATTCAAAATGTACTTTTATAAAAATATGACTGTCCTATGTGCTTATAGCCATTTAGCCAAGAAATTTATTAAGAGAAAATGCTCCAAATCACAAAAGGAAAGAGCTGTTTAATAAACCATGGATTTTATTTTACTGTTCTATCCATCATTTGACATGTGTCCTTTAGGGAGAAGAAGAAGTGGCCAGAGATACATGCCCCCACCTTACCGCCCCCCCCCAAAAAAAAGAGTATCAAGTAAATACATACTAATTAGAGGCAGAAGCCAGCATGAGCCAGTGAATGGAATGATGTGTCATAATTAGTAATGAGTGGGAAAAAGTCTAGTTTGGGGCTTAGAGATACTCCACTTAAAGAGTTATCTAATACACTACTTCTCTGAGTTTTCTAATATACAAAACATATCCATGTAATTCCTGCTAATCTCTATGTTGTTCTTCAAAAAAATGTATTGTAATTTGAAGTTTTATATTTAATTATGCACTTCTTTCATTCTGCTTTTTCCTCTTACTCTAAGCTTTTTGAAGGTGTCCTTTTTACATTCCTCCCAGTGTTTGGCCATGTGTAAGGTCTCTTTCAACAGCTTTGCTACTAACTCTGTTGCTCTGTATTACTAAATCATAACTGTCTTCTTTAACTGCTGGACGCCATCATATAATTTATTTATTCACGGCTGTGGTACTGGTTTGAATTTGGGCCTCTGCATGCTAGACAAGCACTCCAACACTGAGTTCCATCTTCAGCGCTGATCACCATTAGAAAAGCTTTGCACATTCTTTTTTTTTTTTTTTTTTTGGTTTTTCTCCAGTACCGGGAACCGAACTCACGACCTTGCGCTTGCCAGGCAGGCGCTTTTTGCTGCTGAGCTAAATCCCCAGCCCAGCTTTGCACATTCTTGAAATGGAATCAGCAATGGAGAAGAGAAGTGTGGTTGCCAGAGGAGCAATGTGCTGGACTCTCCAAGGGCAGTTTGAGGGATCCCTATGGGAGGCAGAAACACTGTATTTTGAATATATCAATGCTTAATGTAGAGCTTTTCAATACTTTATTAAGGTTTTTGCAAGATCTTGCTGGCATTAGGGCAAAGTGTGGAAATCTACTGTTTCTTACAACTGATCTAGTCATATTAAAATGAAGCTTTAAGACAATGTTTTGCAAAGAATTACATAGAGAACCTTTAAGATTAATACAGTATAAAAGCTAGGATCTCCTCACAGTTCTTTTTTAGGGATTAAGATTAACCTAATTTTTAGTTTTTAAAGTTCTCACTTCATTCTAAAGTGCAGACAGAATCACAACTTTAGAAAGCACAATGATTCTTCAAGTACCACTGCAAAATAAATCACTGAGAGCTTTCAACTCAGATCCTCGAGTGGAGTCTTGAAAAGTTGTCTTTTTGTTTCAAAAATCGTTTTTCTTTTCCTCCCTTCCGCCCTCTCTCCCCTCCTTTCCCTCAGCACATGTTTGCAATACATAATGTTTACACTCCTTGTATGGAGCTGGTGTGTACATGACATACTTTAATTCCAGAAAGACTATTCTTTCTAAATTAGCTCTCCAAGTCCCCAGGGCCCCACATGGGGGAGGTGACTGGGCCACAGAAGCCACACTCACCAGGGATGAGTTCATCAGAGTGCACGGGTTGGAGCTGCAGCCTGGCTGGGGCTGGCCGCTGGGGTGTGACCTGGAGGGCTGCGCTTGACCTGCCTTCTCTCATCTCGGCTTCATGGCTGTGATGGACTGAGCAGCATTCCCTCTACCTCTGCCATCCTGTTACCGGCTTGGAACCAGTGCACCACAAAGAGAAACTGCGCCAAATGAACCTTGCCTCCTGTAGGAGACAAGCACTGGATATTGTGTCCCAGCAGTGGGAAAGCGGCTGAAACACCCCACAGACCGGCTCAAGGGAAACGTTAGCCCTGTTGATCATTCTGTGAATTCAAAGTCTTGGGAGTCTGAAATAAGATGTTTGCTGCATTTGTAAAAACCCAACATTAAGATATAACATATTAGTTTCAGCCACTGTATTTTTAAGCCAGTAAAGCAGCTTTAAGAACATGAACAAGCCTACCTTGTTCATTATATAATAAAGATATTAAATCCCTGGTTTGTCACTGCATTACTCTACCAAGCTGTAATTACATGGTTGAAAAACTGGTGATCAAATATGTGGTTTTCATTCTGGCTGTTTTGGAATAACCACTCAGAGTATGCACAGCAGCCCTGCAATACAGGACAGCATAACACACTCAGTAAATCTCCAAAAGTTAGAGGTGGCCACACAGAACCTGTATTTCTAAAACAAAACTCTACAGGGATTCTGAGACACAGAGTTGAACAGTGACTTAAGAATCTTGTTTTTTCATCTTTATCTTTGGGATCAACTGGTACTCCAAATTGTTGGAAGCCGCTGGAACTGGAAATTGGTCCTATGTGTGAAGGGAGGACAGAGCCAGAGTGCCTCAAGTAGTCAAGATACCTCAATCTTGAGAAAGACATCTTGCCTGGACAATTATAATTGTTAGTCACTAGGCAACATTACCTCTCAAGATACTAACTTTGCAAAAGTATAAAATAAATGTTGAAGTTAGGTCCTCTTGCTGATCAGGTAAGGGGTGGGGTGGCATCTACCTGACCCAGATTTTGTCTCTTGTCTTTATTTTTCTCATACCCGCCACTGTTTCTCTCCAGGGTACAACGAGAGACCAACGAGGTTCTCTATACTAAATGACCAATTTATTGAAACCGACTATTTCTGTAAGTATCAAATCCTCACAATGAAAAGGACTTTACAGAAAGTATAGGCCCTGTCAATTAAAAGGACCCAAGCAACTTAATGTCTGAGCCTTGAGTTTCCCAGCAAAAAAGCAATGAAATTACACACAGCCAATGTCTTTGGGTTCCAAAGAGGTTCTAATGGGAGAAAAGTTATTCAGAGGTACAGGATAAGCAGGGTAAAGGGCCCTGCTTTGACTGGCTTGTACACACATAAATACGTAACAGTGCATTTGAAAACAAGTCCCATTCTTCCTACATATGCAGCATGATGGCACACTCTAGACATGAAAGCCACAGCTCTACAAGGTGAAAGGCGAGCCTCTGTGAGGCACGATGCTAAATGACACAGACACAGGCCTTCCTCTCACTGCAGAAAGCTGCAATGAAAAGTCAGTCTTCACTGTGTGGCACTGGACTACAAGTTCTCCAGGACTTCTTCCAGTTCAAAAACTCTCTAGTATTTGAAGAAAATATATCCATCTATGAATTTTTAAAAAATTCATGTATTTTTCTTGTCCAAGTTAGAAAAATACTCCATAGGTAGCAATTAAAAAAAAAATAAAAAAAGTTTGAACAACCTAAGTGAAAGCAAGTTTTATCACTAGGAGAAAAAAATTTCTAGATTTTGGAAATCCACTCCAAATTTAGCCTGAAAATGTTTCTGGAGACTCTAGCAAAAACTAAAAGACCAAAGAAGAAATAAAAATCTATACCAAGTTAAATATGAAAAATTCTTAGGTGACGATGTCACATAAACGTTTACAGAAAAGATCCTATTCTATTGTCTTCTTTTAGCTACATACCTCTCCTGAGCAGATGGGATACAAACTGTACCTAATTTCTTTACTGTTAAAACACAGTAAACTTGAGTTGGGAGAAACGAAACAGTGAAGGATGCCAGAATTATTAGAGAGAGCTAGAACTAGAACAAACCTTCCTATCCACAGTACTCTAGACAGAAGTAAAAAAGTATTATCATGTACAAAAATGTTAAGATAAATACAAAAGACACTTCTTCATTTAACAAATATTACACCACACAGTATTTATATTATACTATACAAAGCATGCTAGATACTAAAAAGTTAGTAAAAAAAGGGTGCTAACAATGCAAGAGAACCAGCTTTCAACAGGAGTAAAGTTTTAGACAAAATGAAAACCAAGAAACACTCAAGTGACCATATTCTTATGTGAAATGGGGGAAATTCCGCAAAAGAAACCAAAATGCTAAGATTCATCTTTTGCAGGCCCTAATTGCACATCTTAAAAATAAAGAATACAAGAATTGTTATCTACTGCCCACCACAGCCCCACAAATAACACCTACCTCTGTATCTCACAACCTACCAATGAAAATCAGATTTCAAAAATTATGTCTGCAAGCCTAAATACCAGTACACCTGAAGTGGAAGACTCTATCCCCAAAGAACAGTCCCCAGGACCACACTACACTCCTAACTCTGAATAATCACCTGACAGCCACTGAACTTAGGCAACCAAGCATGGGTTGGTCCCTTAGCAAGACAAACGGCATTAAAGGAAAAGAATGTGGTCTACAGACAATTCCTCAGAGACAAACATGAAAGCACTACTAAGTTTTTATGTTTTATATTTGACTTCATCTGTGCCCAAATGGCAGTAGTTATTTTTCAAACTCTAATATGGAAAATTAGTTTCTAATAAGTTATGTACATTTCATAATTTTCCCCCAATAATTTTCTCACACAACATAAAATTTACCATAATTTTTCAAGGTTTCAACATTTTAGGATGGCATAAAAGTCTACCATATGAGAACTCAAGTACATAATTAAATAAAACAAACTTGATTTGTAGAAATGATTACCAAATGTAGTGGTCTTTCAACAGAATTTCTGATTTACAGAGGGCTAACCCTTAAACTACTGTTGAAAACCACTTGAAGCTGTTTACTTTTCTCTCTACAGAACAGTTTAATAGTATTTTCTCCTTTCAAAGCTAACTGAAAACCACGCACTGCCTCCAACTTGCCGTTCTGAAAACTGAGGCAGTGCCACCACACATGGAAGCTGAAGCACTCCCAAGTCGGCAGCATCCCGGAGCTCAAACGGAAGTTGGGATTTTCACAAGTCACTATCAAGTTATTTCCTTTTTCTGCCAACCAAGAGAAACAAAGCTTCGATTAACTGCAATGCTATTAAGTATCACTTTAAATACATGAGGTTTCCAGGAAATTAAAGGCAGAGGATACACATCAAATCAGCGGTGCTCTTACTTAATGCTGATACACTGGTGGATCCGACAAAAAGTCTCAAATATGAAGAGACGAGCATTTTCAATGAAATCCTCAAGGCAAGCCACCAAGAAGAAGTCATTCACAAGTACCTATGTGTGTAAAATAGAAAATGAAAAATTAACAATGCTGACCAGCAATTTTTAAAAACTTCTAGGCAGTCCAACTCACTTACCGCTCCACTCACTACAAGTCCACCACTGAGAGTTTACACTGGGGCGCTTTCTAGATCTATCTTTAAGCTCTAAAAATTTAAATAAGCAGTAACAGGACTTTGGAAAAAAAAGACTCCCACCCACAATGTCTCTTCACTCCACTGGGAATGTAAGTGTGGAGCCACCTCCTGACATCACCTTTGTCCTGTCCAGTATACTACCTACACATTCTGAGATAACACACCTCCTGTGATTGCTTTGGCAGCAGACACACTAACACTAGAACAGTAATGTACCTCCCTTCCATACTGCTTAGAATAAATAATTAAGCAAAGACCGACTGTCCACGTAACAGAAAAAAGTAGACATGGAGAATTACCACAAACAACAATAATAATGATGACGATGACAATGCAAAACGGTGGGTCCTACTCCACAGTGAGAACAGAATACTCTTTCTTCACTGACAGCACCTAGGGGCCCTCTGACTCTTCGGGATTCACAAAGCCCCAATACTTAGCATAATGAAAAGATGCCAATGTAAGTACTTACTTTAATGATGTTACTTAACCATAAGAACAAAAACTATCAAACTGAATTTTAATTTTCTACTTGCTTAATGTTTGAAAATCACTTCTGAATGTCTATTTGTGTATTTTTCAACCTTAGAGAAATACAATCTCAGACTATCAACAAAATGCCGGGGGCTGGGGATTTAGCTCAGCGGCAAAAGCGCCTGCCTGGCAAGTGCAAGGTCGTGAGTTCAGTTCCTGGTACCCAAGAAAAACCAAAAAAAAAACAAAAAACAAAAAACAAAAAAACAAAAAACAAAATGCCTAATTTGTGTCAAAATTTGAGTTCAAAACACTGTAATGTGTGAATCTCCTAAATGCAGCTCAGTTCAAGTTCTTTGTTCAAGTTCTTTGTTTAGTTTATTAACACTTATAAAATAACTAATTCAAAACCACTTTAATGCAACTTTACAGTTGTTCTCAAAGAATGTTAGTTTCTACTAACCAACATAAGCAATATATAATATTTACCCAACTTGAAAAGACAACAAATTGCCTGGTTTAAAACGAATGTTTAATATCATTGTGAAAAATTCTAAGGATAATCCCATCTATGAAATAAAACTGAGAACCACAGTTGGAACATGTAATTCACAGTGAGCCTGCCTGTACATGGGAAATATTATACATACTCATTCGAAACATGAAATTAAAGATTCATGTGTACACTTAAAATCCCCCAGTGTTTTAACAAACTGCCCTAACAAAACACTTATGCCAACATGATGTATGTCTTCACCCCACATTCCCAAATAATTTGTCATTTGAAGATCAACATAGTTTTGATATTATTAATTAAGACACTGCAAGATTAACTCTATAAATCCAAAAATGTAAAAAAGCATTATAGTTTATATGTAAAAACTCATACTTACTGATTCACATTCCCTCAGCTTCTTCTGAGCCCCATCAAAGTCAAAGTTAACGTATAAGCATTCAACAAATTCTGTAATTGGGTCCTTGTATGTGTAAGACTCCTATAAATTGAAATCAAATGTCGTTAGATCTACCTTAAACGTGTTTAGTAGACTGCCCCTAAAATACCCCAATGGTCATATTTTCTACTTCTTTACCATTCATTCACAGTAAATAGCCTCATATAGTGCTGGGTTCTCAAAGCAACGGCTCCTATCCTGAGTGAAGATCACACCTTAAGCTTATATAGTATCTTCCAAACCAAGTTCTCTAAATTCTCATCCTATAATCATTCCAAAAGCTTTCAAATTTCCTGATGACCACAAGTCTCTTAGTTAATAAACAATGATGAACATCTCCAGGTACAAAGGTATTCAGGCCCTACTGGACAACAATTACTTCTTTGTATTTAATTTATTCTTAGATCAAATAAAGATTTAAGTTCTTTTCTTTTTCTTGTTTCTCTTTCTTACAAGCTTACTAAGTTATCAAGTAGCAAGACCACAGCTTTTGGCCAATTTGCGGACTAGTAATACTGTATTCAGTTTAAAGGTCACCTCTCTAAAACCATGTAAATAATGACCCGCCCCCAAAGCAGCACCAGGTAGCTTCCTTCTTTGCAAATAACAGCCCAAATACAATGGGCACAGTAAGTATCCACCTAGCAAACAGAAGTCATCATACATGGCACAGCTGGCGCAAGAGTATTTCAGACTTAGAATAAAAGCTCATTTAAGACTCTTCTCCCTTTGAAACTTCACATATACTTCTCTCCCATTTTCTCTTTCTTTCTTTTTATCCTGACAGTACTCAGAACTGAACCCAGGGCCTTGGACATGGTAGGCAAGTGTCCCACCACTGAGCTATTGCCCCAGCCCCGCCCCTCCAATTTTTAAGACCATGTTTATCCTTGTGAACCAAGAGTCATTACTTTAGCAAAACAGATTAGACCTAAGTTTCAGTACTTTAAGAAAATTTGTAAAAATTTTACTTTTACCTGCTGAATGACTTTTACTAGATCTTTTAGCACCTGCCGGCGCTTTCGAACATCTTTATTTGTTATGACTGCAGTGGTCAGGTAGCGGAGAATATGTGGACACATTGTCTGAATTGCATTAAGGTACCTAAGATAGAAGTAGAAGTCATATAACATTAGTACCTTGCCCAGTTTCCTATACCTATAACCCCGTATGAGTTGAAGAAAACACTTGGGCAGTCCATTCGGATGTAAAATTTACTAGCCTAAGACTGCCGATACTTAGAAGTAAACATACAAGCACATCTCTTCCAGGAGAACAAATGGAATCCAACTTTAAGAGGATAATCTAAATGAGAATGCCAGTCTGTATTCTCCAATTTTAGAATGTCCTTAGATGTGCTGTCAGGACATTCCACACAACAACAAAGCTATGACTTTCACTCAACCCTTAAAACAAATTTATACATTTGCACAAAAAAACCTATGCACAAAGCACTCAGGATAATCAGAAAATCAAGCTCTTCCATGAAGAATTCAGGGTATGAAAAATTACAAACAACAAGGTGAAGTATATGACTATAGTATCTCACAGTCTGGGTTTAACCGGTAGCAGTGGCAATTAGATAAAAGGGAAGAGAAGTCAGATACAGGTCAAGAGGGTCCTGGCTACTACAATCCTGCCATTCAGATGACTGTCAGTCATTCAGTGTATTCCTCCTTAAATAGCTGCTCAATTACTTCTCCAGTAAGTACTAGCTGACCATATTTGAATGCCAGGTACTATGCCAAGCTCAGAACCATTTGTCCATAAAGTTTACTTCTCTTAGCTGGACAACCAAACTATCCACCCAGCCCCAGCCCCCTCACAGCACCATCATCTGCTCCGTGCTTTCTTCCCTAAAGCTCACTCCACACTATACAGGTTTTCACTATTTCTAGTGGTAGATGACTTAGTTCCTTGGAAAATCTGTTTCTGAGCATATGCCAGAAGCTGAAACAATTTTTGCAAAGCAGCAAACAAATATTTTCATCTTTGTGGGCCACTGGAAAAATGAGACTATCCTGGTACTTATATCAAAAGAGAAGACAAATTTCCAAAATATTTTACTTTAAAACTCAAAAACAGTATCTCAGTACAATTTTTAAAATATAGGCTCAGTAATACGACCAACAGAATTCCTTTACTGAGTATAACTGTATTTAGTTAGGTTCAAATTTAGAGGTCTGTATCACTAAAACCGACTACAAATGTTTACGGTTAATGTTGACTATTCTCTGGCTTTGTGTTGCTCAGGGTGAAACCCAAGGCCTCCCAGATGTATGTTAACAGCCTCCACATGATCACTGCATGCTTTTGTTTTACTTCCCTGACTGACCATCCTCCTTCTCTGACAATCAAAATTTAAGGCCCAGATCAATTTCATATTTGCTGCATGGTTAAAGATTCAGTCCAAGTGCAAGATAAGTCAATATTGCCTAGAAAACCAGTACTGTTTAGAATTTCAAAAGTGCAACGATTGACTTCAGATTTCATATTATAATCACCTTTAAAAAACTTGTAGAGATATCCCATAGTTACCAAAATTAGTATTTGTAATTATCTAAAAACTGTTTAGCTATAAATACACCTGTCTTTTCCAACGAGACAGTGGTATGGGGCTAGGTTTTCTTCATTTACGTCATTTTGTCGGGGGAAGAGATACCAGGAATTGAACTCAGGACCAGAGGTGCTATGTCGCTGAGCTAAACTCCTGGCCTTATCACATACTTCGAACAAAACACATTACAACAAATTGAATGAAAACTAATTTTGAATGTAGACATGAAAATCTAGGGGCTGGGGATTTAGCTCAGCGGCAAAAGCGCCTGCCTGGCAAGCGCAAAGTCGTGAGTTTGGTTCCCGGTACCAGAGAAAAACCAAAAAAAAAAAAAAAAGAAAATCTAGTTGGGAATTAACCCAGCAACTGAAGGTATGAAAAATGTAAAAGAATTCTAATTTCTCACAAATTGTTTATAAAAGTTATTTTTCATATGCAAGAAAATTTTATGCCAAATCCAATTAATTTGCTATTTGTCTATTTATACTAAATTTGCTTTAATTTTTCATATAGTATTTGCATGCATGTGTACATATATAATTAATTTCTAGTTTTATCATGTTCTGCCCAGAAACTCCAATCTATGAAAAAAAAACTGAATTACAGATCTTTAGTGGTCTAAGGTGGTTTTTTTTTTTGGTTTTTCTCCGGTACCGAGAATCAAACTCACAACCTTGTGCTTGCCAAAGGCAGGCGCTGTGCCGCTGAGCTAAATCCCCAGCCCCAGAACCAAAGTGTTAAACCCATCTGTAGAATG